TAAGCAAAAAGAACAAAGCTGAAGGCGTCACACTACCTGACTTCAAACTACATTACAAGCCTAGAGTAACCAAAATAGCATGGCACTGGTACTAAAACAGACATATAGACCAATGTAACAGAATAGAGATTTTAGAAATAAGACCACACATCTACAACCATCTGATCTTCAACAAACCTGATGAAAGCAAGCAATGGGAAAAGTATTCCATATTTAATAAATGGTGCTGAGAGAACTGGCTAGCCATATGCAGAAAATTGAAATTGGATTCCTTTTTTACAACTTATACAAAAATTAACTTAAGATGGATTAAAGACTTAAATGTAAAACCCAAAGCTTCAAAAACACTAGAAAAAAATTTAGGTAACACTATTTAGGACATACGTATGGAGAAATATTTTATAATGAAATCACCAAAAGCAATTGCAACAAAAGTAAAAATTGACAAAGGGAATCTAATTAAAGTAAAGAGCTTCTGCAGAGCAAAAGGCAACCTACAGAATGGGAGAAAAATTTTGCAATATACTCAACTGACAAAGGTCTAATATCCAGAATTTACAAGGAACTTAAACAAATTTACAAGAAAAAAAATAACTCCATGAAAGAGCGGGCAAAGGACATAAACAGACACTTCCTAAAAGAAGACATTTATACAATCAACAAACATGTGAAAAAAGGTTCAACATTGGTCATCATTAGAGAAATACAAATCAAAACCACAATGAGATACCACCTCATGCCACTCATATCAAGTCAAGAAACAACAGATGCTAGTGAGGCTGTGGAAAAATACACTGTTGACGGGAAGGTAATTTAGTTCAACTATTGTGGAAGACAGGAGCTATAACCACAAGTACTATTTGACCCAGCAATCCCATTACTGGGCACATACCTGAAGGAATATAAATCATTCTATTATAAAGATATATGCACACATATGTTTATTGCAGCACTATTCACAATAGCAAAAACATGGAATCAACCCAAATGCCCATCAATGATAGGGTGGATAAATAAAATGTGGCACATATATATCATGGAATACTAGGCAACCACAAAAAGCAAAGAGATCATGTCCTTTACAGGACATGCATGAAACTGGAAGCCATTAACCTCAGCATACTAACACAGGAACAGAAAAACAAACACACATGTTCTCACTCATAAGTGGGAGCTGAACAATGTGAACATGTGGGCACAGAAAGGTGAACAACACACACCGAAGCCTGTCAGGGGCAGTGGGGAGAGGGAGAGCATCAGAATAAAACTAACGCATGTGGGGCTTAATACCTAGGTTATGGGTTGATAGATGCAGTAAACCACTATGGCACATGTTTACCCATATGTAACACACCTGTACATTCTGCACATGTATCCTGGAACTTAAAATAAAATTTAAACAAACAAAAAAAACCAAACAACTCTTGTCAAGCAAGGTTGATGGTTCTTTTTGTGGAGCACTTCATGCTAATGACATCTTGTCCATTCATTTAGGCAGTGATGGAAACTCTTATTGATGTGAAAAGTCACTGAACAGGGAATTGGAAACCTGGATTTGAAAACAATGTCTTATTCTCATTCATAGGTAACACTTCACCTCACTGAGACATGCATTCCTTACTCCTAAAGATAAAGTAGGGAATTAGAAGAGTGGGTCACTGAGGTTCCTTCTATCTCTAGTTATCTGTAATTCTCTCATTTTATAAAATGATACAGGCGGGAGTCTTATGATAGGAAGGAGGAGGAGAGTAGAGACCTGCATCTCTTAGGGAAAAAAGCTGATGATCTAAAGAGAGCCAGTTTTCATTTTAACCATAATAAAGGAGTGTGTTTCTTTCAGAATTTAGAGCAATGTGAATCAGGCTTGTGAATTGCAGCTTATCTTTGTTCTAGTATAAAAGTTCACCAAGACCTGGGTTCATGCAAGTTCAAAAAGTTACCAAATCAAACTTTCTTCACCCCCTTTTTAATCAACTGGTGCTGCAATGATTAACTCAATGTTTATTTTGAAAGTTGCTGTTTAGAGGAAATAATGAAACGGTGTATCACAGTACACCATTGTGAATGTTGAACTGAACAATTTATTTAGAGAGAGGCTTTTGAGGTGCAAAGGTTATGGGTACTAGCCTCTGCTCTACAACTTGCAGACACCGTGTTCTTGGCTAAGATGATAAGTCTCTGAGTCTTGATTTCCTCTTCTTTAAAATGGGGATGATTTTACCATAGGTGAAGGTAATTGAGAGAATCAAAAGTGAAATAATAAGTGTGAACATTCTCTGTGAATTATCAGAGTCCCTAAAAACATGAGGATTAAACGTTGTGTAACTGGAGTCTTGACAAAAACTTAATTTTTCCTTATAAAACAGCTTAGAAATAATTATACTGACCAATTTAAAATAAATATGATAATATCGCTACAGGACATACCTTTGCACAAGCATTGCCATTAGTTGTCTAGCAATGTGTATAATCCTAATGATATATAGCTCCTTATGCTCACTGAATTCCATCTCCCATTCAGGTTTGCATATTGTGTTCCTTACGTGCTATAAGTTTGTTTAATAAAGTCTCCTCCAAGAACAGACCACATGTTATGTACCAAAACAAGCCTTAAAATGTTGTAAAAAAATTGAAAAAATAAGCCTCTTCTCTGACCACAATGGAATAAAACTAAAAATTAATAACAAGAGGAATTTAGAAAATTATACAAATATATGTGTAAATTAAACAATATGCTCCCTAATGACCAGTGGGTCAATGAGCAAATTAAGGAGGAAATTCAAAAATTTTTGAAGGAAATGTTAAAGGAAACACATTATACAAAAACCTATGGGATAGAGTAAAAGCAGTACTAAGAGGAAAGTTTGTAGCTATTAAGTGCCTACATCAAAAAAGAGAAAAAACTTCAAATAAACAATCTAACAATACATCTTAAAGAACTAAAAAAGAGAAAACCAAACCCAAAATTAATAGAAGAAAAGAAATGGTAAATATCAAGGCAGAAAAAAATAAAATTAAATTAACAAAATTACAAAATAATCAATGAAACAAAAAGTTGTTTTCTTTTTAAACTTAAAATTGACAAACCTTTAACCAGATGAACAAAAAAAAGGAGATAAGATCCAAATAGATAAAGTCAGAAATGATAAAGGAAACATTACAATTGATATTTCAGAAATTCAAGAGATCATTAGTGACTACTATGACCAACTATATGCCAATAAATTTAAAAATCTAAAAGAAATGGAAAAATTCCTAGATACAAACAACCTACCAAGATGGAATTAGGAGAAAATCCAAAACCTGAACAGATCAGTAACAGGTAATAAGATCAATGTCATGATAAAAAGTTTTCCCATAAAGAAAAGCTCAGGACCTGATGTCTTCACTGCTGAATATTACCGAACATTTAAAGATGAAGGAATACCAGTCCTACTCAAACTGTTCCAAAAAAAAAGAAGAAGAGGGAATACTTCCAAAGTCATTCTAGGAAGCCAGTATTATCTTGATACCAGAACCAATCAAAGATTCATACAAAAATAATCTACAGAGCAATATTACTGATCAACACTGATGCAAAAATCTTCAACAAAATCCCAGCAAACTGAATTCAACAGTACATTACAAATGTTGTCCATCATGATCATTTATTCATGAGATGCAAAAATGGTTCAACATATGCAAATCAATCAGTGTAATACATTGTATCAACAGAATGAAGAATAAAAACAATATGATCATTTAATTGATGCTGAAAAGCATTTGATAAAATTTAACATCCCTTCATGATAAAGACTCTCAAAAAACCAGGAATAGAAGAAACATACCTCAACATAATAAAAAGCATATATGACAGACCCACGACTAGTACATACTGAATGGGAAAAGACAGAAAGCTTTTGTTCTAAGATCTGGAACAAGATGAGGATGCCCACTTTCACCATAGTTAGTCAACATACTAGTGGAAGTCCTAGCTAGAGAAATCAGACAAAAGAAAAATAACAAAGGCATCCAAGTTGGAAAAAAAAGTCAAATTATTCCTGTTTGCGGATGATGTAATCTTATATTGGGAAAAACCTAAAGACACCACAAGAAAACTATTAGAACTGATAATCAAATTTAGTAAAGTTGCAGGATACAAAGTCAACATGTAAAATTTTTGTGACATTTCTTTATGCTAACAGTAAACAACATGAAAAAGAAATATAGTAATTCCATTTATGAGAGCCACACAGAAAATTAAATAGCTAGGAATTAACGAAAGTACAAGATCTCTATAATAAAAACTATAAGACATTGATGAAGGAAATTGAAGAGGTTACAAAAAAGTGAAAAAATATTTCATTTTCATTGACTGTAAGAATCCATTTTGTAAAAATATATATTGTTAAAATACACTGCCCAAAGCAGTGTAGTTCCTTGCATTGCTACAGATTCAATGAAATTCCTGTAACAATACCAATGACAGTCTTCACAGAAACAGAAAAAAATTCTAAAATTTATATAGAACCATAAAACATCCAGAATAGTCAAAGTTACTCTAAGCAAAAATAACATTACCAGACTTCAAATTCTACTGCAGAGCTATAGTAACCCAAACAGCATGGGACTGGTATAAAAACAGACACATAGACCAATGGAGCAGAACAGAGAACCCAGAAATAAATCCACGCTCCTACAGTAAATTGCTTTTTGACAAGAGTGCCAAGAACATACATGGGGTGAAAGACAGCCTCTACAATAAGTGGTGCTCAGAAAACTGGATAGCCATGTGCAAAAGATTGAAACCAGACCCCTATCTCTTGCCACATACAAATATCAAATCAAAATAGATTAAAGACTTAAATTTAAGACCTCAAATTATTAAACTACTACAAGAAAGCATTTGAGAAAATCTCCATGACATTTGTCTGGGCAAAGATTTCTTGAGCAATACCCCACAAGCACAGGCAACCAAAGTAAACATGGACAAATGGTATCACATCAAGTTAAAAATCTTTTGCGGTTACTGACCCCAGGGCTGACCACCAGCCTCTCACAGAGGCATCTTATGTTAACCTACCTACCATTGCTCTGTGTAACACAGATTCTCCTCTGCGCTATGTGGACATTGCCATCCCATGCAACAACAAGGGAGCTCACTCAGTGGGTTTGATGTGGTGGATGCTGGCTCGGGAAGTTCTGCGCATGCGTGGCACCATTTCCCGTGAACACCCGTGGGAGGTCATGCCTGATCTCTACTTCTACAGAGATTCTGAAGAGATTGAAAAAGAAGAGCAGGCTGCTGCTGAAAAGGCAGTGACCAAGGAGGAATTTCAGGGTGAATGGACTGCTCCAGCTCCTGAGTTCACTGCTACTCAGCCTGAGGTTGCAGACTGGTCTGAAGGTGTGCAGGTGCCCTCTGTGCCTATTTAGCAGTTCCCTACTGAAGACTGGAGTGCTCAGCCTGCCACGGAAGACTGGTCTGCAGCTCCCACTGCTCAGGCCACTGAATGGGTAGGAGCAACCACTGAATGGTCTTAAGCTGTTCTTGCACGGGCTGTTAAGCAACATGGAAAAATGGTTGATAGAAAATAAACATCAGTTTCTAAAAAAAAAAAAAAAAATCTTTTGCACTAAAACTGGAAATATTTCCTTTGAAAACCGGCACAAGACGGGGATGCCCTCTCTCACCACTCCTATTCAACATAGTGTTGGAAGTTCTGGCTAGGGCAACCAGCCAAGAGAAAGAAATCAAGGGGATTCAGTTAGGAAAAGAAGAAGTCAAATTGTCCCTGTTTGCAGATGACATGATTGTATATTTAGAAAACCCCATTGTCTCAGCCCAAAATCTCCTTAAGCTGATAAGAAACTTCAGCAAAGTCTCAGTATACAAAATTCATGTGCAAAAATCACAAGCATTCTTATACACCAGTAACAGACAAACAGAGAGCCAAATCACGAATGAACTTCCATTCACAATTGCTTCAAAGAGAATAAAATACCTAGGAATCCAACTTACAAGGGATGTAAAGGACCTCTTCAAGGAGAACTACAAACCACTGCTCAGTGAAATCAAAGAGGACACAAACAAATGGAAGAACATACCATGCTCATGGAGAGGAAGAATCAATATCGTGAAAATGGCCATACTGCCCAAGGTAATTTATAGATTCAATGCCATTCCCATCAAGCTACCAATGACTTTCTTCACAGAATTGGGAAAAACTGCTTTAAAATTCATATGGAACCAAAAAAGAGCCTGCATCTCCAAGACAATCCTAAGTCAAAAGAACAAAGCTGGAGGCATCACGCTACCTGACTTCAAACTATACTACAAGGCTACAGTAACCAAAACAGCATGGTACTGGTACCAAAACAGAGATATAGACCAATGGAACAGAACAGAGTCCTCAGAAATAATACCACACATCTACAGCCATCTGATCTTTGACAAACCTGAGAGAAACAAGAAATGGGGAAAGGATTCCCTATTTAATAAATGGTGCTGGGAAAATTGGCTAGCCATAAGTAGAAAGCTGAAACTGGATCTTTTCCTTATTCCTTATATGAAAATTAATTCAAGATGGATTAGAGACTTAAATGTTAGACCTAATACCATAAAAACCCTACAAGAAAACCTAGGTAATACCATTCAGGACATAGGCATGGGCAAGGACTCCATGTCTAAAACACCAAAAGCAATGGCAACAAAAGCCAAAATTGACAAATGGGATCTCATTAAACTAAAGAGCTTCTGCACAGCAAAAGAAACTACCATCAGAGTGAGCAGGCAACCTACAGAATGGGAGAAAATTTTTGCAATCTACTCATCTGACAAAGGGCTAATATCTAGAACCTACAGAGAACTCAATCAAATTTACAAGAAATAAACAACCCCATTAAAAAGTGGGCAAAGGATATGAACAGACATTTTTCAAAAGAAGACATTCATACAGCCAACAGACACATGAAAAAATGCTCATCATCACTGGCCATCAGAGAAATGCAAATCAAAACCACAATGAGATACCATCTCATACCAGTTAGAATGGCAATCATTAAAAAGTCAGGAAACAACAGGTGCTGGAGAGGATGTGGAGAAATAGGAATACTTTTACACTGTTGGTGGGATTGTAAACTAGTTCAACCATTATGGAAAACAGTATGGTGATTCCTCAAGGATCTAGAACTAGAAGTACCATATGACCCAGCCATCCCATTACTGGGTATATACCCAAAGGATTATAAATCATGCTACTATAAAGACACATGCACACGTATGTTTATTGTGGCACTATTCACAATAGCTAAGACTTGGAATCAACCCAAATGTCCATCAGTGACAGACCGGATTAAGAAAATGTGGCACATGTATACCATGGAATACTATGCAGCCATAAAAAAGGATGAGTTTGTGTCCTTTGTAGGGACATGGATGCAGCTGGAAACCATCATTCTCAGCAAACTATCACAAGAACGGAAAACCAAACACCCCATGTTCTCACTCATAGGTGGGAACTGAACAATGAGATCACCTGGACTCGGGAAGGGGAACATCACACACCGGGGCCTATTATGGGTAGGGGCGAGGGGGGAGGGATTGCATTGGGAGTTATACCTGATGTAAATGACGAGCTGATGGGTGCTGAGGAGTTAATGGGTGCAGCACACCAACATGGCACAGGTATACATATGTATCAAACCTACACATTATGCACATGTACCCTAGAACTTAAAGTATAATAATAATAAAAAAATCTTTTGCACTGCAAAGAATACAATCAACAAACTGAAGAGACAACCCACAGAATGGGAGAAAATATTTGCAAGCTACTCATCTGGCAAGGGATTAATAACCAGAATGTACAAGAAGCTCAAACATCTCTATAGAAAAAAATCTAATAATCCCATCTAAAAATTTGCAAAATTTTGAATAGACATTTCTCAAAAGAAGAAATACAAATAGACAACAGGCATATGAAAAAGTGCTCAATGTCAATTATCATCACAGAAATGAAAATCAAAACTACAATGAGATATTACCTCATCCCAGTTAAAAAGACTTACATCCAAAAGACAGGCAATAACAAATGCTGCTGAGAATGTGTACAAAAGGGCACCCAGGTACACTGCTGGTGAGAATGTAACTTAGTACAACCACTATGGAGAAAAGTTTAGAGGTTACTCAAAAAAAACAAAAATAGAGCTACCCTATGATCCAGGTATCCTACTGCTGGGTATATACCCAAGAAAAAGGAAATCAGAATATTGAAGAGATAGCTGCACTCCCATTTTTGCTGCAGCACCGTTTATAGTATGGAAGTAACCTAAGTGTCCATCAACAGATGAATGGATAAAGGAAACATGGTATATATATACACACAATGAAGTACTTTTTAGCCATAAAAATGAATGCCATCCAGTCATTTGCAGCAACATGGATGAAAACTGGAGATCTTATTAGGTTAAGCCAAATAAACCAAGCACAGAAAGAAACATCACATATTCTCATTTATTTGTGACATCTAAAAATCAAATCAATTGAACTGACTGAACTTAGAAAGTAGAAGGATGGTTACCAGAGGCTGGGAAGGGTGGTGAGGGGCTCAAGGAAAGGTGGGTATAGTTTATATGCACCAACAGTAGAAAGAGTAAATAAGAACTACTATTTGATAGAAGAGTAGGGTGACTATACTCAATAATAACTTAATTCTATATTTTAAAATAATGTAAAGAATGAAATCAGATTCTTTGTAACTGAAATGATAAATGCTTGGGGGATAGAAACCCCATTCTTCAAGATGTGCTTATTTCACATTGCATGGCTATTTCAAAACATCCCATGTACCCCATAAATACATGCATCTACTATGTACCCACAGAATTTTAAAAATACTAAAACATTAAGTAAAAAATATAAAATTTGAATTATATAAAAATAAACACAATAAAGTATGTAAACATTTTGCTTGTGTTAAAAGTTATTTTTTGGAAAAATAAAAGATCATCAATAATTCCTAAGCAGTACCAATCCATGAGATTTTATTAATTTTTGTATCAAAATGGGACATGTAAAATGTTATTTCCTTGCCTATATTTTTGTGGCTTATTTATTAGTTCTGTACTTATTGGAGACATTGAGATGATCAATCCAGAAGTGTTTGACAAGCACCTATTGTTATATGCATGTGGCCTATGCTTCATGGAATAATTAAAAATTAAATTGTTAAATAATTAGAATATACTAATTACACTGGTTTTAGTTACTAATAATCTAAGAAAGACATAATGCATATGTCAGGTGAATTGGAAATACAAACAAGTTAAAAAATACAAATATAAATTGAATGTAGGCATAATCATATCACACAGCATATGGAAGAGAAGGAAGGAGGGGTTAAACCTAGGAGGGCCTCCTGTAATCCTTGAGGTTTGATGTACATCTTTAAATATTTGCATGAAACATCTTTAAATATTTGCATGTACATCTTTAAATATTTGCATGAAACATAGGAGAGGGGATTTTGGATGAGTAGAATGGTGCTGTCAACTAAAGAAAAACACCTTGCTTTTAAAGAATTAAAGTTAATTTTATTCAGAGTCTTCTTGAGGACTGCAATCTAGGGTAGTCTTTCAGAGTTTCTGTTAAAATACTCCAAAGCAGTGTTTCAGTCAAGAGCTTATATACTGGTGGTGGAGATTCTGCATGTGCTCAGAAGTTACATCAAATGTGGTTAGAAGTTACTTTAGAGCAAAACTTCATTAAAGTTTCAATGTAAAGGTACATCTACTTATAAATTACAGATGCATTATTAATAAACCTGTCAGATATTATCTTAGGTACAGAAAAAGGCAAGGGGTATACTCATTAAACTTATATTTTTTTAAAAAATGCCATAATTCAGGAAAGATTTGTGGAGACCTATACTGTATCCTGCTTATAGCCTTCAAGTTATTCTCCCTGAAAGCTGCACTCAGACGCTGAGTCAGAGTTTTGTGAATTCATGCTGAGAAGCAGAATGAACAAATGGATTCTTCATGACAAGGGCTGACTATGTGGCTGGCCAGAGCCATGTTTGCCACTATTGTCTTGCAGTATGATGAGAGGTCCAGAGGTATTTGGTGGCAAAAAGATGGAGGAGAGAAACCTTAATTGAGTGGAAACAAAAATGAATTTGAATAGATATGGAATTGGGGATGTCTTTCAATAACCTGCAAGCCTGAATGTTGGCATGGAGAGTTTTTATTTGGTCAGGTATGCACCAGAAAAAGAGTTGAATGTGGATAATTATTAGAGAAAATTATACTAGGAGTTCTGTAGAATGATTTATACCATGAAAACAGAACTCAGGGACCAGATTATGAGATTGTTCCTCTCTTTGGCCTCTGTCTTCAAGGAAGTCTGGACTATGGAAATGCAGATTCTATAATAAAGTCTGGCTCTCCATTCCAAGATGGCCGAATAGCAACAGCTCTTGTCTGCAGCTCCCAGCATGATCAATGCAGAAGACAGGTGATTTCTGCATTTCCAGCTAAGGTACGTGGTTCCTCATTGGGACTGGTTGGATAGTGGGTGCAGCCCATAGAGGGCAAGCTGAAGCAGGGCAGGGCATTGCCTCACCCAG